TGCTTTGGCCTCACTTACACGGTATCGCAAATCACTTCCCGATAGGTCACCCATCCTTAGACTACTCCAGCTCAAGCACGCTTAACTCTGGAGTTCTCTCTGGATGTGCTCCCGAAAAGGTAAGTGCACTTTGGTGACATAGGTAGTCAAATCAATTCTTTTAAGCCTTTCCATATATCACAACTCGGGATGTTACAATAATATTTACTGAAAAAGTTCAACTACTAAGATAAACTATTCTGTGCAATCAATCCATTGAAATCTTTGGTAAGATAAACTATTCTGTACAAAAACAAAATGAAAAATACCAAAAAGAAATCGAAATGTCGTTAATGTCTTTGGCCAAATATCTTTAGTCTGGAGCCAATAAGCATCAATTTCCCGAGCACTAAGACCACATCATCGACTTTACCACTCCTCAATGAACCCATCAACTATTATATAGTTGAGAGGTGGTGATGTTTACGCATAATGTTCTCATACAAGATAAGTTTCAGATAAATCTCCAGTGAGGAACTTGCATATCCTTGTGACAGTTTTGAAAATAGGTTAAACAGCTTGTCAGTTAGACGCTTGTCAAACACTTCACCACGTCATTCACCAGTATGTTTCACTTGTAAAATCTCTGTTTGCCACTATATCAAAACAATTGGTAAAACACATATCATCAGAGACATTCTAAAGAAATAATCTATCTAAAGTGTAGTTTATGCAAATACAAAGGAGTTGCCGAAGGTTAATTCCTAGAAAAATATATACCTGATAGTCCGTAATTGCTGAGAGTCTCCTTCAGCTGCTGACTGATTCAGCATTGCCGAGATCACGAAACTTTAATATGAGGGATGTGTTGGACTTTGTAATAATCTTCTCCTCCTTCTGACAGCCTCTTCTCCCATCCCTTTTCCATACTCCAAAAGGTCAGACTCTTTAAAGAAGTGATGAATCGCAGGCCATCAGGAATCTCTTTTAGTTTTCTGCATTTGTAAATATGGAGAGTATGGAGAAGGGGCATAGAGCCTTCTTCTACTATCCACTCTTCCAACTCTTCTAATCCCCCAAATTTTAGCTTCTGCAATTGAGGAAACCCATGCCTCGAGCAAACCATTCTCTGTCCGCAGAAAGCTAGAGCAAATAAACCAATCTCTTTCACGCGAAGCAACTTCTCTAGAATCGGCATTGGATCCTCCTTCAAACGACACTTACTTAGAAATATGGTTATAAGGTGAGGAGGAATATTTTGCACATCAGGTAACCTTGGCATATATATCTCCAACCTCAGATGTTTGAGATGAACAAAATCCCAAACAAATCCATCTTTATCATCATACGTGGGAGTATACAAAAAGCTTTCGTTCTCTATACTAAGATCCTCCAAGTGTGAAAGCTTACGCATAGATGAAGATAGAATTTTCATAGTATACATCCTGTCTGAAATATCGATAGAGAGATATCTGAGCCGTGTCATACCTTTTAGATCCGTCAGTCTCCCATGTTTTGTTTTGAAATTCTTCAACGTCTCTAGGCTGACCAGATTTCCCAATTCCAACTTTGTCTTTTTATGTAATGTCCCCGGCAACCACAAGAATGTCAATTCTCGCAACTCTTTCAATATATTGGGTATGTAAACAAAATATGATTCTACATATAGGTTTAAATAAAGCAGCTTCTTCAGATTCCGCATAGAAGAAGGCAGTTGAGTTGCATTTGACCCCTTTAAACTAAGATATCTCAAGTGGATGAGTTTCCCGATGCTAGAGGGTACCTTCTCTCTTTTAAAATGCACATTAGGGAGATCTAACACTCTCATCAGCTTGTGTCTTGTAAAGAATACACTTCTTACCTCCCATCCTCCATCATTGATAGGCAAGAGAGCTCTAAGGCTTGGATTATCCACATCCGTATCAAAATCAAATGTTTCATAAGCGGAACCTAGTAAAGCAAGTCTGCGAGATTTACCAAAAGATTTCAAATTTGCAGTTGATCCGGTAATGATGTGTACGAAATTCTCTTCTTCAACTTTGCGTAAACAAACTTCCCTCATCATGTCATGCAGCTGAAAATTTTCAAATCTTGAAGTATCTACGTCTCTTTTAGAAATGATCATGTTTCTCTTCACTAATTCTTCTGTGTATGCATCTGCAACCTCTCGAATGCTCGCTTCATCATAATACCTTGGCCTTGGTATTCTTTCTGCAGCCCAATAATATGACATTTTCTCCACAGATATTTCATAATCTTCTGGAAAATGAGCTAAGTATAGGAAGCAGTGCTTCAAATAAACAGGCAGCTCTTCGAAGCTCAAACACAAAACATGATAAACATCATCGAATCCTCCGATCATGTGAGCTTTAATATTCTCATGTATCATTTTCCACTGATTCAATGTGTTCTTCTTAGCTAACAACCCGCCTAACACCTTAAGAGCCAGTGGTAGACCTCCACAATGTTTAATCATCTCCTTACCAATTTCTTTCATGTCTTCATCAATCTTATTTTCTACAGATCAATTACAAAGGATCATATGTCTTGCAGGTATTATAGTCATTTTTCTTTAATTTACTAGAACAAAAAGAGAAAATCCAAGTAAGCCTTCCTTGAAAACATACCAGATGTGTCTTTAATAGGAAATGCTATCCTTTGGAAAAGATCCCAACTTTCTTCAGAAGTTAGGCATTCTGGTTTGAAGGTGACACATTGTTTATCAGCATGTAATGCCACTTCCTCATTGCGAGAAGTAAGTAATACCTTCCATCCTGGAACACATTTATACATCATAATGATTTAACACAATGTGAGTTTTAAAAACACAGCCTAACTTATGTAACGTAAGGATTTTCACCTTTTTTTGGCAGAAACACTGGCTTGATTAGGTCCCAGTCTTCTTCTCTCCATATATCATCAATGACGATCAAAGCCTTTTGTGTTTCCAACTCTCGGACAATCTTCTCTTGAAGTTCTTCTTCCATCATATTTGACACATTGCATTCTGGTCTGAATTGTCGCAAGATTGTCTGCCAGACACACTTCCTTTCAAACTGTTGTGAAACACACACCCAAGCCAATCTTGGAAAATGACTTTTTATTGTCTCATGATTGAAAACTTTTCTTGCGAGTGTGGTTTTACCAATACCACCCATCCCTGTTAGAGAAACCACTTGAGTGCTATCATCCTTCAACAAGTAGCCAACCAATATCTTAACATTCCTCTCCAACCCCACAAGATGGTCTTCTTCATCTCTAGAAAACGTTTGTCGCATCTCTCTTTCTCTTACCTGTACAGACTTCATATGCTCATCATCGACAATGACCTTCTGTACGCCAAGCTTCTGCATATCACAGATCACCTTAGAGATCCTCTTGCTTATGGTTTTCATATCAAACCCAAGCACCATGCTTTTCACAGGAACACATGCATATCTTTTCACAATGTTGCTGCTTGATTCTCCGAGTTCTTTCTTCAGGAGAAAAGTTTCGACGATATCTTCTACATCAAAAACAATTTCTTTGATGTCTTTGATAGTTTTTCTCACCATCTCACTTGTGTGTTTCTTGGCCTCTGCATCTTTCAAAAAACACCTTAACATATCCACATCATTTTTTAATCCCTCGAACTGCTCCTCAATTCCTTGAAATCGCCCAGTTTCTCGGACAAGGAGGTTCCAAAGCCTCTCAACTGCAAACGGTAAAAGTGCCACTGCCAGCTCAGCCATAAGTCTCCTGCTCAAACATGAAATAAGTAATAAATAATCAAACGAGGGCAAGAATCCTTGAGTTCATACATAGTCCGGATAACATTCTTTCTGCACATTCTAGTGTATATAATATATACTATTTTTTGGATCTAATCTATAGATGATATGAACAATCGAGATGAAATAAATATGAAAAATACAAAAATAAAAATCACCTCTTGAAAATCTATCTTCGTCCAACTGATCTTGTTAAAGAAAATATGGGAATGTGTTTTAGTTAGAAAATATGGGAATGTGTATCAGTCAAGACCAACCGACACAACCAGCTGTGTTCACGACGATGAATTAATATATTATAGCCACTTACACATTTTGAGACAAAAGACCATGTGGTCGCTGAAAAGAGGAAATCAGAAACATGTTTCCTCGTAACCTTTTGTTTTTGTTAATCATTTTAACATTTTAATAATGTGGGAGTGGTGAACCCAGTTCACTCATAAACTAATCTTACTTTACGCACTTATTTTACTTTTTGACGGAAATCACGAAGCTGCATTTCATGTTTTTGTTATACCTCCAAATTGGATCCTATGTTGCATATCCCTGATAGTTCTTCTTCATGGCAACATTGGCAAGAATGCTTTATTTTACTGATTAACTTTTAAATTAAGGTTAACCAGTGAGATGCAGAAAGTAAACTCTTCTGAGAATCTTACCTTAAGCCCTGAATGCATTAATAGCTGTCTTTCAGTTCTTGTAAGACTAGTAATGGACGATACTATATCCCCAAGTCAGGCTTGGGCTGCAATACTTGTCTACCTTAGGTCTGGCTTGCTTGGTGATCACGCCACCAAAATTTTTAACTTCTGCGGAGCTATGATCTTCTGTTACTACAAGCTGAAACTCTTCTTGAGATTTTACAAGGATAGGAAAAAACGGTTCGAAGCTAAGAAAGCCGTGTAAGAATATTTTATATTCTATGTGACCTATATGTCTATTGGTTTAATATAAAGTTCAAGTTCATATTAATATCAAAATATCAGTAATGCTAAATGACATAAAAGTTTGATAAATTAATCAACTATACAGTTTTAATATCTATATATAATATAACAAGACCACTTTGGTGACTAACAAGCCGAACTAGTGCAATGTAATGTTAAAAATAGTAAGTATCAATCCATGTCGAGAGGTAATTACGTGGCGTTGAACGCACAGCAGAATCAAGCACTTGGACTTGGTTATGTTAAAGTGTGTATTAGGAGGACTAACTTCTTTCGTCCGACACCGATCGTCGGAGTCAACTATTGGGAGACGTTGATAAGCAAGATTACCTCCATTGCAGCTCAGATACTTCCTCCTTCATAATTAAGAACGCACAAATCTTTAGTAATAGAAAAACCCTCGTTTTTTTTGATAAAATACCTCGGACTACTGAAATTTTCTGGTAGTCCCACGTATTTTCCTACCCTCCTTCCTCTTGGATTAACGGTGGGCGTTTATAATTTTGAAGGGTTTTTATGTAATGTGAAGAAACAAAATTCATGTTTTTCATATTTTGAAAATATAAAAAAATAAGAATTGTTTTAAAAAGTTAAAAGCAACTAAAATTAGCACAAAAAAAACCATTTTAATTACAAGAAAAGAAAAAGGAAAAAAAAACACTATACATAAGAGTTAAATAGCAATGAACATGTAATGTATAATTGTATAGGTTGTATTGTAGCACTTAGTTTGTTACGTTTGACTAATTATAAATTTATTTGTATCCCTGGATCAAATTTCCCTTAATTTAATAGTGGAGTTTCTTAATAGTGTTGTAAGAAAGACATTTTATTTGTTCCCTCTCTTTTGAAATTACACTTTTAGAAAGAAGTATAAAATTGATCGAACCGGCTGATCCTGTCTGGACTAACCGACAGGAGATCAGATATCGATCGACCCACACAAAAACATTCCAACGGCATCGCTTCAAGCTATTGAAGCAGCAAAGGATACCAAACTGCCTATTTAACAAAAATTTGGAGTTTAGACAGTGCATGAACTGCCATTAGCTCTACTGAGAGGTAAACTCACCTACCTCATCTCTTGTCAACATAGTCTGCATCCATTTATCGATGAGTTAATTTATCAGTTGCCCATGAATATTTTATCAAATCAGAAGTTTAACTAGGAGTTCAAGAATATTCATAACATTTTTGATTGGAAGCATTTGGATAAGTTCTCCAACTAGATGCTTTGTTTAAGTTTTGGTCTGCTTTTTCGGCTTTCTAATTCTCCAACTAGATGCTTAGTGTTTGTTGCATGGTTGCAGGGAACTCAGTATCATAATGCAGTCCAGAAGTTCATGGATGAATGCCAGTTGAGTGAATGATTTATATTTTTTCTCGTTGTTTTGCTGAAGAGTTTCATGTCACTTTCTCTTGGCCTTGGTTCCCTCGTCATCTCTGAGCAAACAAGATGTGTTTTGTAATAATAATTTTTTGGTTTAGAAAAGAAAAGGTTTTAACAAAGAAAAAGGAAATGAAAGTACTTACTCTTAACCAAAACAGAAATGACAATCTGAGAAATGGCATACATCACCTGAGGACAATAATCTTAAAATCCTGTGAAACTAGGCAAGAAACCTTTAGATATGTTATTTACCAGCTTGGCAGGATGTTAGGAGGAAGTCATCTGACCACATACAATTCTGAAAATTAGTTTAGTTTTAAAATATTTTGTGTTAATCCTAACCCAAAAACATTATTGATCCCTTTGAATTTTAAATTCAATTATAAACTAATAAATATATAGAAAAAATAGTCCAGTTATATTATTTAAAATATTCCCAGGAAAAAAGTAAGTCCACTAAAATAAAATAGAACTATTATTTCTGTCGATTTGCTTATAGCCTTATATTTTTTCATCTTGTTCCACTTTTTCAGTGTTTATTGGATATTGACTTGTAACAATTGAAATCAAGTTAGATTGTTTCAAGAATCTAGATAAAACTTATATATTTATTGCTTTTGTAATTTTAAATTTTAGTTTATTTTAACTGAAATTTAATCATTTTATCGCATACTTAAATAACTGATAACAATAAAATTAAAATTAACCTACATGTTTCAGCTTTTGTAGTTGTATGCAAATGTGTACTTTAAATAAATTTATTTATTAAATTGATACACATATAGTAAACTATAATTTTGTGATTTCTACATTGATTATGATATATTTGATATTTCGATGAAACTTTTTTCTAATTAGTAATCCCACACTAAACATGTTCTTTTATTTAGATGTTATATTGTGTTTTATTGTTTCAAATAAATGCAAATTGTTAAAAAAATGACAAAATTGTCTAAATGTGTAGCCGTTCTATTAAGTTTTTCGTTTTTTTCCTTATATTTTTCTTATTTTCAACTCATGTTTTCTAATAAGTCGATTATCAATGAAATTATTTAAACTAATAGATGATTGTATATCTTCAACATTCTGAACCATTTTTAGGTAAGTTAAATTTTGTATCATTACACTTTATGAGAAACAATGAAATCAATGTGAAAAGGTGTAAACCATTGTGCAACTGTTTTCATCAATACAGATCACTAAATACATATCCACATTCAATATCATCATTGATATCAAGGTTTTCCATATAGTTGATATGTAATATATATTCATTAAAACATTATCTTCAAGTGTAACCAACAAAGAATGTACAAGTTGTGCACTAAGTTGTAGTTTCAATCGATTATATTTCTTACTGTGGATCATGAAAAACCTATATCAATTTCACACTATACAATTGGATAAACATGGTATGCTAAGTTTGTTTTTATTTTCAATAGGTGGATGAAATATTTCATAGGTTTGATGAAATTTCCAAATGAGCTTTCAGTTCATTTTCAGTAGATGGTTATTTGGTAACACATATCTTAGGTTGGTTTTGGATGCATAAGGGGTAGTTAGATGTTTATTCAAGAAATGAGATGAATTAATTTCAGTTAACTATGAAAGAAAAGTTGACATAGTATATTCTATTATAGAAGACTTGGTATACGAAGCTGCTCGTTTTTCTAGGTGTCCTCTAAACATTTTATTAATAACTGGTGATGCTGATTTTGTAGAGCTAGTGGAACCACAAGGAGTTAAGGACATCGAGGTATATCTAGGTAGGCCTAGCAATTGCACTAAAAAGTGAAACCAGATCAGCAGTTCGGGATATAGGATTTGATAAAGTTTTCTCACAGCAATATTATAGTTTACTTCATCAAATGTGTTTGTTTCTTTCTCCAAACCTTGCTTTAGCTTCTAGTTATTAGTTTGATGTTAACATGACACTTAATTATTAAACTGTGTCTGATTTTGTGGTAAATGTTTTTAATAATCTAACTAAGAAAATGAAAAGAAGTCTCACAACTTAACAAACACAAATGTCATAAACTACTAACAGTGCCTAATAGTCAAATCATTTGGTGGTTGTTTTGTTGATGAGACACTTGTGGAGGTGAGGGATCAGACCTTCTCTAGCAATACGCCATTTGAGGAGTGTCAAACATCTTATGCTCTAAATTTCAAACCATCACTTCAGACCAAATTATCAAATATTCAGTTATAAACATTTGTCAAAAGTTACAAAAAAATGTCTTTGATAGACTGTACATGTGATATATACGCATGCATATCACTAAACACTACCCATGAGCATAAATTCAGAAAAAAAAAGTAATTATAATAAACTTTCAAATCAAAACATAAGAATTTAGTAGTAAACCTTTGAGCAAAAATACTGCAACATTTATCCGTTTATACAAATCTATTATATTAAAAAAGAAGTCATGACTTCTCATTCATATGTGATTTTTTATAAAATTGACTATCTACTAGAGTTGGTCACATTATATATTTAATCATTAATAACATTCATTAGATTCACTAATAACATTTATTGGACTTACAATAAATTTTTATTGGGCTAATAAAAATTAGATGATCCATCGAATTTATAGATAGTATAATAAAATACATATTTAAATTAAACTTATATAATTTAATATAGTATTAGTATAAGTTAATTAGTTATATATTTTCGATGTTAACTTTAAAAATTATATAGTTTATTTTTAAAAATAATAAAATATCATTTTCTAACAATAATCAATCTATACTATATAATAATTAATCATCCTTTTTGATATACACACCTTATATAATATATCATTTTCGATATACACACCTTATATAATATATACCAATTTATAAATAAAAACAAAATGTTTATATAAAAATAAATGAAAAAAATACCCGCGCAAACCGCGGGTTGAGATCTAGTTATTGTTATGACACAATGTTTTTATAGATTTTTAATTTCCTTTCGTTTCATTATTCAAAACATTAAATTTTAAGACTTTTAGAAAAGAATATTAAAAACGATCAAACCGTTTAATCCGGTACGGACCAACCGGCAGGAGATCAGGTATCGACCAATTCAAATATAAAAGCTGAGTTGCTCAAAAAAAAAAATATAAAAGCGAAACGGCATCGTTTAATCTTTCTTTTCTTTCCCTAACACGGCGTCGTTTAATCAATTCGCCATAAAGGCAGGAGGCAAAAGAAAAATCTCCGGTGATTAATCAACCATCCGATCCCTCTCAATTCCGAGATCCATTCCGATCCGTAACCGCCACTTCTGGTAAATCATCTTTCACCTCTCTCTCTCTAGCCTCTGCGTAATTTGACTATTAACTCTCTAGGTTTCAATCAATAGTGATTTGATCTTGATTTCATTACGAAGATCAAACGCATAGCTATAGATAACCTAATTTTGATGTATGCATGTAAATGTATGTATCTCCAGGTGCGATTTTGAAGAGAAACGATGGGAATCATAGAAACAGGAACTGTATCAGGTAACTTGCCGAGCAAGGAGATGTTCGTAGTACACTTCCCTGGCTATCCATCGTCTATCTCCCGAGCCTTAGAGACTCTTGGAGGTATCCAAGGGATCACAACGGTATATCCATTTTGACGGTTTATTAGTATTGAGTTTTTAGATATTAAGTGATTGACGGTTTTTATTTTTTTGGTTAGGCAAGAGAGTCAACGTCCAACAAGCTTGAGTTACATTTCCGTCCTGAAGATCCTTATGCACATCCTGCTTGGGGAGAGAGACGTTCTTGTAACGGTTTTCTGTTGAGGATTTCTAAGGAGGATGGTGTTAAGAGAGGTTCTTCTTTGCCTGAAGTTGGTACTAGTGATGCATGTCCGTCTCTGTGTGCTGATATTGTAGCTCGTGTTTCTGAGTCGTATTGCTTTGATGGTGAGAACATGTTCAATGCAGGGTTCTTAGGTTGAGGTTCTTAACGAAGTATAAGAACCCCGCGTCTTAACTTTTAACTAAAAAAGCTAAGAACCGGCTCTTAAATAAGATATAGCTCCCCAGTTTATGGAGGTTTTGTGCTACTAATTGTGTGTTATATAGTGAGCATTGGCTTAATGTTTCTCATTTTTCACTCTTATTGAAAAGGGATGGTTGACTACCAGCATGTTATTCCTATTCATGCGGATGTTGCACAGCAGAAGAAGAGGAAATGGATGGAGATGAATCCGCTTGCAGGTGGTTCTTATCTGTTCATTTGGTGTTTTTCATTATTATGGCAGATCGCAAGGTTTTGTAGCATGGTTTATAATAATTACTCTGTAATATCGTACAGGAAACGATGATCTAATGGATATGGCTGATGAAGATGTGATGATGTTATTGCCACAGTTCTTTGCACCTAAAGATATGCCAGATAACTTGGTGTAAGATTACACTCTCTTCATTGTTCCCGAATTTTTATCGTTCTGTCTTCATCTGAATCTTAAAAGGGAGGACCCGATGTGTAGTCTGGAGTTTGTTAGTTATAGTTGATTGAAGTGTTTGAAGTTCTATTTTTAAATTTCACTTATGTTTTTGATCACAGGCTGAAACTTCCAGGAACATCGGGTCCAAAAAAGAAAGAAGAGGCACCAACTCAGAACCTTTGTGAGGTATGTGGTTGCTACTTCGCCATAAATGGTGGCATGTTAGTTTGTATGTGGTTGCTACGTATCAATTTTCTAATTGGTTTACTAATGATGCAGGACGATATTGGCCCAGTATTTGCAATTGATTTCAGTGTCAAAGATATCCTTTTCTCTGTTTTAGTCATCTTCCAAATCTTATTATTGCCTAGTATGAAGCCATGTTTGTTTTGATGCTTTTCTGTCATTTTCAATTACCTTTGATCCGTCCTTAGCGTTCATACAGATCCCAAAGATGTTAAACTGGAAAGACTTCGTTGATCCCAGCTCTGACCAGTGGCAATGGCAAGTAGCAGTGTCTGCATTGTTTGACGAGCGACCTGTGTGGACAAGAGATTCCATAGTCCAACGTCTACTTAATAAAGGTCTTAAATGCACACATCACATGCTAAACAGGTGAACAGATTCTATGCGTTTCTGATGTGTATTAATTTTCTTAGTACTATAATAACCAACTTTCTGGAATTTTCTCTGCAGGTTTCTTTTTCGGTCTGCATATTATTTCTCGGGTGGCCCATTTCTTAGGTTCTGGATTAAAAGAGGCTATGATCCAAGGAAAGATCCTGAGTCTCGTGTGTGAGTTCTCTCTCTCTCTATATACATTCATATTACAAATGAATGGTCTGTGATATAACAACGTAGAATTCTCATTTTGTTCACCTCAAAAATTAAACTAGAACAAAAACAGTATGTGAAGTCTCTTTTTTTTGCATCCAGTGTGTAGAGATGTATGTCAAAGCTATTTTACCACTATTTACTTTGCGTAATTTATTTTCAGATACCAGAGAATGGAGTTCAGGGTTCCACCTGAATTAAGGGGTTATTGTGATGCCAATGCAAGTAACAAGTAAGCGTTTCCTACTTGCTTATAAACTCAATCATATAGCTCCACTCAAAATGGGACAGAAAAAAAAACATTTTAACATTTATTTGAAAGTATTGCTCCGTGGTGAAGTGCTGAAGTATGGAAGTGTGTTCAAATTCTCCAGAACCATATTTGTATCGAAGAACTTGTAGAAGTTTTAAGTCAAATTAATGTCTCTTGATTTTGCGATCTTCAGCCAACTTCCGATGATCTTAGCCTTAATATCCTCTTTTAGCGAAATTAAGATAGATTATGGGGGAGCATATCATGAATTTAGCATGATCTATGGCAAATTTGTAACTGAACCATTAAATTATAAGCGATACTTAACTTATTCCTTGTGACAGGTCAAAGCGAAGCTGGGAAGACATTTGTGCTTTCAAAGTTTTCCCTTTCAAATGCCAAACATTTCTACAGCTATTTGAACTCGACGACGAGTATATTCAGCGAGAGATAAGAAAGCCTCCCAGGAAAACTACTTGTAATGTGAGTTCGCAGCTAAGATTTTGTTCATGAAGTGAATACCAAAAAATAGTCTCTCGCTTGTTGTATTAACACTGACCGGTAGATATGACATGTTGCTTCACTATTTAAAAAGTTACAGACTTAACGTTTATATGCAATCCCAAAACACGCCTCACAAAATCTTTGACAAGCGCTTTGTTTTATATGAGGTCTTGATTATCTGATATGATTTTTGTTGACAGTATAAAACGGGATGGTTCTCAGCAGCGTTGCTTGATAACCTGAGACTCCGCGTAGCTGTGAGGTTTGTATCTGTGTTTCCTGAGCCAGGTTTCGAAGATGTTATTAAATCTATTCACGATGAGTTTGAGAGGTCAGAGAAGACACGAACTCAGAAAGATGCACTGAAATCTTGCAAACCAGATCAACTGGAGAAAACTAAAGGTAAGATCAACAACATTACCTCAATTTTCATGTTCTTTGCGTTTTAGTCATTCTAGTTAGTGATTGTTGACATGTGTTTCTGTCTCAATGGATTTGAATTTGAGTTAAAGAATGGTGACATTGACTAGATATAAATTTGTTGGAAATATGCTCTAGAAGTAAAATATTATAAGTGGGACTAATCTGCCACAGTCGAATCTACGAAGAGCTACTATGCTTATAATCATTCGCCATCGAACACATTCTTCTCCTTAGAATCTATGGAAGTAACAGGTACTGATTGATGCAAGATAATCCGCAGGTGGGGAAGATATGAAAAAGAATAAAAACACAAACAAAGAGAAAGAGGTATCAGCGGATGAAGATGCTGAAGACGTGGGTGATGATGAATACGAGGAACTCGATGTGGTAACCATTCTTATAAACTTTTCCTTATTTACTTCACACAATATTTTCCTCAAAAGTCCATTTCTTCTTTACAGGCTGCAGATGATGATGATGAGATATCGTTAAATTCACATGGATGTATCCTTCAAATCCTAAACTTTTTGATAACACAAGCACCGATTGATGAATTATTATGCACTTTCTTGCGTGTTTAGGAGATTAGAAAAGTTGTCAAAGGAAAATAAGAGATTGATATTCTTTAAAACGATGATAAGATGGTGAGATGGAGAGCAACAACTCGAGAACGTATCTCCAAGGTTTGTTCGATAGATTTCCAAGCAGCAACCAAGCTTTAGATGGTGCTAGCGACGGTAGTGATGAAGAGTATCAGATTTACGAGCAAGAATCCAACGCTTTGGATGACGAGGATGAAGATGATGATGATGATGATGATGAATGATGAACTTTGAACATAATGCGTAAATGTAATGTAAGGAGATAACGTAAGTGTATTACTAACTAAACTCAACAACAACAAAGCTGTATGTACGTACATAGGGAGTTAGCTCAAGAACAAAATTGAACTCTCTCTATATATTAATGTCATCATCAAGCTATTAAATTATTGTGGAGCTTCTTGTGTTGAGGTCTCAGCGGATTGGACTTGACGAACGAACTGTCCTTTGATACGCGGACGTTGCTCAGCCAGTTTCTTCCGGCTCTCATAACGAACCTGTGGTGCAAAGTAATCATCCAAAAGGTTAGAATCATTCTCTTTTAACATAGCCTTTATGTGCTCATGAGTTTATTATTATCATCATGTAAGCGAACAAACATACCTTTTTGTCAAAACATCTGTCCTTGCGCTTCATCCTGAACTTGTTTAAAGCGGCTTCTCGTTGAAGAGACTGTTGAGTTCTCCCCGCAGACGACGAGTTAGTACTGCAGTGATTGCCTATTTCACTATGTTGAGTTGCGGAAGACACGTGTCTTCTCTCCTCTGCATCCATGGAACCGTTGAAAGGGTGAAACATGGAGCTGTACTCATGAGGGCTAACGGAGCTCGGGCTTGGAGACAGTGAAGCAGGAGCCACGGTAGATGCATAAGGTGTGTTGAACTGTATGCTGTTGATGGGAACTGGTGTTGGGTAAGAACCCTGTCCTGGCCAAGAATTCATCAGAGACGAGTCATCTCTATTGTTAAAGCTGGTCTCGTTTCTTCTTGGAGCACTTGGAAGCGGTTCAGAAGAATTGTATTGGTTGATGTTATCATCTTCACTTGCTGCAACGTTCTTTCTTTGATCCAAAACTAAGGGAGAAACTGAACATTGTGGCCTGTGAACGTACCTGACAACAAGAACATAGCAGACACAATCAGCAAAAAAGAACAACAAATGTTGAAAGATTGGTGGTAAGAAGGAACCAGAACTAACCGTGTGAAAGCAGAGGAACTAGAAGGGTGAAGAGAGGGTCTGTCTCCAGAAGATTGATTCTCGCAAGTGTTTGGTCTTCTCAGAGAGAGATCAAGCTCTATCATAGATTCGTATCTAGCAACAGTTTCTTCTCTGTTGCGTTGTGTGTTTCTTCTAAACGATGCTCCCATGAAGTCAATAGCTTCTTTAGTTGAGTCATCTACGTCTGCGCTCTCACCTTGCATCTCAGGCCTTGAACATGAGCTCTACATGAACAAACAACTAAAAAGTTTAGAAACAAAACCAAATCTGCAGCACTGAGAAAAGATAGTCCATAACCATATCTAACCTGGTCATCACCACTATGCTCAATTTCAGGACGTTGGTCTCTCTCAAATGCATTCTCGTGGTTACTAGTCGAGTTGTTTGCAGACGCACCTTCAGGCTTCTCATGTCCAACACTCTCATCATCTAGGGGAAAGCTTCCAGGAGCATTTTGTCTTCTTCTCCAGACATGTTGCCAGAGATTCCTCAGCTCGTTCCTCCTCAAGGGCTTAACAAGATAGTCAGCCGCACCTTTCAACATACACTTATACACAGTATTCACAGAGTCCTGTGTCGACATCACTGACCGAAAGAAAGAAAGAAAAAAACAAGTTAATGAGCTGAAAATCGATTCAAAGAAGCAGGAGTTATATAAAAAAAATGGTGACATACTTATGACAGGAATGTTCTTGCAGATATCATGCTCCATGATAAGTGTAAGAAGAGCGTATCCAGAGATTGAAGGTAGATCAACCTCTGTTAGTATCAGATCAAAGCTTTGGGGGTTTCCGTTTAGCATCTCCCAAGCTTTCAAGCCATCAGCTACGGCAGCAACTGAGAAGAGAAAACCATAGTAAAAAAAAAAAATTAAACTCAGCTTAGATTAAAAGAATAAGTCTTTCCACATGTTAAACAAGCTGCTAATCACTTAATCAGATTTTCAGACAAAAAAAGATTCACTTTAAACAATCAAAGTTCAGACAGAAGCCAGATCAACACTTCAAAAAGCACAAAGACTAGATTCCCCCTTAAACTATCTCATCAGGCAAGCTCGAAGAACACGACAGTGAAACAAGAACTAACCTCTGTAACTGCATTTCCTGAGGAGAGCAGAGATAATCTGTCTAGTGGAATCATCTGCTTCTACGAGCAAAACTCTAAGCGAGATTTTCGGGAGAAACTTCTCCCACTTCACCAAACCATCTCCGCCTTCTGCGGCGTCCTTCCTCCGCATCCTCTTCCGCGCTGACTTTCCTCCGTTACTAGCTTCAGCTACTTTCTCCACCACCGTAACCTCAACTACTTCGTCGCTCATTTCTCTCATCTCATAAAACTCGAGTAAAACTTTGAAGTTCTAGAAGAAGAAGAATGATAAAGAGGGGAAAAAATCTTATTCTCTCAAAAAAAGTAAAAAGAAAATATCTTGAAAAAATCTAGCGAATGTTTCCAACGGCTGAGATCAGAATAACACGGCCAAACGAGCGTGATCCAACGGTCATGAAACTAGTAAAAGGCTTCGAAAAATATCTAAATAGATTGCTGGTGTGTCCCACGTTTTTGCCATGTCAGCATATACTGTACTAGGTATGGACCACGGAAGAGTTTTTAAAGTTATTTCCGCGGCTAGATATTTTTGCAGGTGATAAGGCAACGAGACACTTGTTTAAACCTCGTGGTGTTGGTGGATGAGAATACGACACGTGTATGGTGGTAGTTTGACAGAACCTTTCAAGAAATATCTATTTTTTTCTTGTCTCTTAACGCGCCAGGAGTTTGATCTTATAAACCCACTCACTTTTTTATTGGTAAAACAAACCACTCACTTTGCTTTTTTTTGTCAACCCATTCACTTTGCTTAATCTCTTGACTTATTTCTTAATGAATTAATGACTAATGCTTAGATCATACCATCCTCCTTTTTTTTGTCAACAGATCATATTATATCATAAAGATAACTTATAAAAATCTCATGATTAGATATTAAAAAAAAAACAATAAATGATGAGAGATTAAAAATATTTTTTCCAGGACTTTTTGATAAAACCCATCAAAATCTCATAAGCAACTTGTCCACAAAAATGGTTAAAACTCTAAAAAGCTTGGTCTGTGATCAAAACTATCAAACTAAAAAAAAAAAGAGATTATCAAAATAACAAATTTGGTCGCCAAATAATCCATTGGTTGATTGTCACAGAATTATTGAATCATTGATATTATGGAAGAGACTGTTTTATTTTATTTATCAAAATCAATCAATGGCATAGCTTTTTTGGGCGGTCAAAATGGCATAATTTTATCACTTTAAAAAAGTGTTAGGACTTTGGTTAGATGATAACGCACGCACGCGAGTGTCCAAGTGTGGTTGATAGATGATGTGATGACTTTTGGTTTAAGGAATAAAAATCTAAAGATATTTTGTGGCCTAACCTAAACGAACATGCCCCCATATCTTTTTGAGACAGATATTTTTGGTCTGTGCCATAGTTTTCATCCTTTCTCTTGTGTGTGGGCAACTAAATTTTGATATTTATTTGGTTCTTTAGAGTCTATAGGATATTCTTTTTTGGCTACTTGAGATATTTTTCAGTTGTATCATATGCTCATTGTCTTGTTCATTCTAAGAAGTTAACTAGTCAACATTAACGTGCGTTAAACATCATCCACTTGAGACAATCTACGTATCTAGCCAAGCGGTTCATAAATGAGATGAGACCATCACTGGTCACCAATGATTCATTATTATATGTAGCTAAAGGGATATTATGTTGTGGTTAATAAAAGACTTGCAATCTTGTTTCTAAATAATAGAAAAACGACCTACAAGTCTGTCTAGCTGACCTATGTAAAGATTAATGTAAGAACAATGTATTTAGATTTCCCCATCTAGTGTATATATATTCATTTGCAATGAAAAATGTACATTAATTTGACAATTAGTGACATGTGGTGATTGGAAACTTCATGTTTCAATAGGTGGATAGAAAATATCTCATTTTTGGTTCATTAGATATTACAATTCGAGTAAATATCCAAGATCGCATGGCATCTTTGTTTAAATTGTCTAAGCTCAGATTCGTAGGTAATTGTCTAAAATTGGTACATACTCCATCTGATTACAGTAAATTGGTTAGTTTTTTATTTGTAGCTTTGGATTCTTTTTGCAATTCAATGAACGATATAATAACAACTACGAACTGGATATTAACTAAAACATTTTGTGTATGTTTAGTATGTATTTATTTTTTAAAGTTTTTCATGTTTTTTTCTTGTCTATTGTTCAAAATTTGTAATCATTTTTATTTATATCTAGTTGGTTCTAAGTTTGATTTCAATGAGTTGAAGTCTCTTGTCAAAGTGTCAAAAGTTATTACCGGATTTTGACAATGTATTATTAAACTCTTGATCACAACATTTAGTTACAATTTAGATTATAACAACTTCTCATAAAAGGAAGTTCACAAATTAGCTTAATAGTACATATGTGTTTTAGGTGCTACTCATATGCTACATCATCATCTAGTAATATTTCTGATAAAATCATATTCTGTATACTAAGGATTGGTCGCGATTCAAGTGGAAAGTTTGTGCATTATGGTTTTCTTATTTTCCGAAGTATTTAGTTTTTTGACGATCTTTTATTAAACTCTTGATCAAAAATTTAGTTACAATTTGGATTATAATAACTTTCTCTCATCTTCCCTCTCGGCGATGGTGGCCAAGTGGAACCGAAAGAAGCTACGTGCTTCGACTGTCTCAGATCCAGATACCTTATTGGGTTCCCTAACTTCATTTATTGCTTCCGGTCAGGTAAATGTCTCTTTGATTTTCTCGTAAATCCATCTCCTTTAACTAGTCTCTCGAAATATGGAGAATCTCAAAAGAAGTTCAAAAATTAGCTTAATAGTACATGGTGTTTTAGGTGCTACTCATTTGCTACATCATCATCTGGTAACATTTATGATAAAATCATATTCTATATACTAAGGATTGGTCGCGATTCATGCAGAAATTTTATGTATTATGATTTTTTTCGAAGTATTTAGTTTTGTTTTTATGTTAGGATCAGTTTCGTTGTCATTAACTAAATTTCATAATTCAGTTGCTGAGATAGTTATGTTATGTTTTATTTTGGCCATATATGTCTTTTGACTTATTATATTTTAAGTAATATAACTTTATAAATGATTTTATATGTTCTTTGTCAATCTTGTATTACATCTCTAGTTTGGACTATGCAAATATATATATTTTTATTTTCTTATCAGGATAAAATTATACTTAGTTTTTTTATTTGATTCATGGGGTAACTTTAAGAAAAAATCACATTTGTATAAATAAATATTTTTATATGAAAACAAACCTTTTTATTTTTGTTCTTATATTTATTGTTTTCTTTGATATATTTTGTTATATTATATTTTGAAATCTTTGTTTTGATTATGTATTAGTTCTCTGTTGTAGTTTTCCTTAATATTTTGTTAGGTTTACTTACCTTGAATTTAATGACCAAAGGAGAAAAACAGCCATATCCACTCCTTTTAAAATTTCCATTGATTTTGTTTTGATGAAAGGTGAAATAAGCAATATCGTTGATGAATTTTCCTAATTTAGCTTCTTATAAATTTTTCATAATATTTTTAAAATTCTATAATATTGTTATATTATATATTTTGTTATATTATGTAATTCTCTATAAAAATATTTGTTTATATTGTTATTTTGCATTTCTTTATTCTGAAAAAAAAATCTTTGTTTTGAGTATGTTTTATTTTTTGTTGTTGTAATTTTCCTTTAATTTTAAATTTCTCTATATATGAGTTTGATGAAAGGTAAAAACCATTATTTGCTTCACTCTCTTTAGCTTGAGTTTGATAAAATTGAAAATCAGTACCGTAAACAGATTTTTATCTTATGAATGTAAACATTTATCCTGGAAAATGTATATTATAATATTAGATTATGCATTTTCATTGAACTTTATTTTCTTACTTTTTTCACCAAGTTTAAGGAAAACTATGTATTGTTTCTATATGTTTATTGTATTATATTTTATATTTTTTTCTCTACAAACTAATTTCTTACAAAAATATATATTATGTATTGATGTGTGGTTGTTGTTTTCAGTTTTTTGTTTGTCGTTTCTTTAAATCCGAGTTTCGTGATTAGAAACACAAAAAAAAAGATATTCAATGAGAATCATTTATTTCTTTGGTTTGAGTTTTGATGAAACGTGAAAAAATAAAATAGAACTTTTCTTTTTGCTCTTTTGATTTTTATTTACAAGTATTTGAAGGTTATGTATTTTGGGATTATATAGTTTTCACTAAATTATTATATGTGGCATATTAATGTCAAAAAATTTAGTTGGATTAAAATGAACTAAATATTTAAAATGATAAGGGTTATTAGTGATTTTTTTAAAAAAATGATTAAAAAATTTTAATGATAAATGTTGAATTACTAAATATTTTAAAATTATGTTAAAGTGGCATGCTGAAAATAAAGAGTGGTGACATGGCTAGTATGTTTTACTTCAATAATTGAATATAGAAGAAGATAGATAGATTTCCAAGATCAAATACCCATCTTCCTTACATTCTCTCATTTCATATGTCTTTGTAAAAAAATGACCAAGTAGGTGCTGCTCATATGTGTTTTATTCTACCAATGTTGAGATGTTGAGAAAAATATATCATTGTTGCTATGCATTAAGATAAAGAGCTTTGAGGCAAATACCCTTGTGTCTAAGTTTTCTTATCATTCACTTTTTAAGTGAAACTGTGCTCGCTGAGGAAGATGCTGAGACTGTATACCCTTGTTTGTATTGACTTGATGACAAGTATAATACAGCGAAAGCTGAGGAAGATCAAGGAGAAGGACTCTGACCACGGAACATGAAAGGTAAAAGAACCAGTGATTGAGCTGGTTGCAGAGGATGCTGGGCACGGTCCTGGCTCAAGTCTTGGAGAAGAAGAGAATGATTTGATCAAAGAGGTTGGCCCAGACTTGCCTTATAATTGTTTTGTACTGATCTTCAATAACTGATTCTTTGATGATGCTAACGGTTTCCTTTCACAGATTGTCCGTACCAAAAACTTTAAGATGCAACCACTGAGCTAAGCGTTCTCTTTATGGCTCAGGAAAGTGTACATACCAAAAAAGGCCAAACTACTCCTGTGTAGATGATTCTGTTTTACTTCTAAAGGTAAAAGAAAATGAATCTGAAGTACGATCTTGATTCTCTTTAAATAAATCAGATGATAGCAAATACATTTTAATAAACAAGAATGTTACATAATAATAATCATACAGCAGAATTATCATATACATGAAGTTGAAACTTAATTTGGTTTAGTTTAGTGGCTCTATCAAGCCAATGACCTATGACCACGAGCCTCTGGTTCGCTGTTCTTCTTGCTAGTGTGTAGTACGCTTCTTGGTTTAGATGGCAATCTGGATAAAAACAAGGAAGAAGATACTATGAATAAACAAAAAAAAAAGTAGGAACCATAGATTCGTAAGAAACGTAGCTTAACTAAACTTGCCTACGCAATAGAGTTCGGTTCGCATTGCTACTTTCTGGATCATCATGAATCTCTTCACTTTGGTACTGTGGATTCTGCAATCAACATAAAGATTTTAAAATTGAAACATGGCATATTATTAGTTAACTCAGTTTTAAGACAAGGATCTTGTAATAATATTTTACTAGTAACAATTATCAGTACAAACACTTTAAAATTCTCAGACACTAATTTTCAGTTCAGTTTCAAAATGAACATAAAGATTCTGCAATGAGCATAAAGATTTTAAAATTGAAACATGGCATATTATTAGTTAAACTCAGTTTTTAAGACAAGGATCTGTAATAACAACTTTCAATTTTACTAGCAACAATTATCAGTACAAACACTTTAAAATTCTCAGACACTAGTTCTCAGTTCAGTTTCAAAACCTATTACTTCATTAAAAGAACTAATCTTAACTTAAACGAACTCGACCAAACTCAATCTTAACTAATTAATCTCAGTTACGGTCGGAGAATCAAACACTAAACAAATAAGACAAAAAAACAAATAAAAGAGTACTTACATTGTCTGAAACTGATCTTGAAACCTTCATCTTCTTACTTTTCCGACCAATTTCACCATCATCCCCATCACATTTCCTCTTCTTCTTCTTCTTCAACATCTTCTTCTTCTTGACCTTGATCGTCTTCTTCTTCTTCAATGAGACAACACCACGCGAATTACCCTTCTTATCCCTAACTTTCCACACATTCCTCCTACGAAACACAACCTTCTCCACCTTCCAGATCTTGAAACTCGTGTCGATCACCGTCACTTCACTCCTCGAAAACCCCACCAGATCCTTCTCACCTTCCTCCTCCTCCATGACGTCATCATCTTCTTCCTCAACGACTCTTCTCCTCCTCTTCTCCCTCTTCTCCCTCTTCTCCGTGACCTTAGGGAGAAAACTCACAGGAATAGTCTTCACAAAGCAATGCTTAGGGTTTGATTGTTTCCTCGGTAGCTTCTTCCCGGGAATAATCATCGTCGAGCGAGAAGAAGAGCTGCTGAAGTTGAAGAGATCAGAGAGAACATCGCTCATCACGCCGTACCATTCGCCCTGGTTCGGATCCGATGGACTATCCGTTAGGTCTGGATCCGAAGGAGTTGGAGGAGAATCTGTGGCGGTGTGGTGGTTGCGGCGGAGGAAGTCGTCGAGGCTGAGAGGAGTACCGGAAGCATCTTCGTCTTCGGTGGTGGAGAGGCCTTTGCTTATGCGGAGACGGTCTAGCCAAGAGGAGGCGAAGGGGGACTTGTCGGAGGTGAGCATCGGAGACGACGACGATGTTACAAAAAAAAAGAAAAAAGAAAAATGTTTTTGTGACTTGCGTGAGTTGTGTGTGTTAAAAACAGTGCGCCGTTTCAGACTCCAACTACGCGTCGTCTTCGTATTATTTTTTTTTTTCGCAATTGGTTTACAAATTTGGAATTTTCCAATTATGAGACTATCCATTTGGTTTAGTAAAACCACTTAGTTGACCAAAAACCAATGCTGTATTGTATTTTAGTTGCGAAATAACTTTTCTTTTTAAAAGTTTTTTTTTTGAGAAACTTTTTATAAGTAGTTGCGACAGAACTTCTACTGGTTATGAAATTTTAATGGAGACGTGTTACAATCCAAAAACCTAGTTAGAGATTATTAGATTACCAAGTAAAGGAATGGAACTAATTTGAAGAAACATGATACTATTAAAACTCATATTCAAGGCTCATAGATTTTTCTGAAGAAGAAAGCCTTCTAAAATAGAAACAATACAGTTTTTTTTCACTTTAGATTGGTTGAGTAATTAAAACAAGACTAAGTTAAATTTATGTTTCCTTATAGAATTATAAGACATGTTTGAGAAGTTAGGTAACCTTAACTTCACGTAACAAAAAAAATAAGTCACTGGCCGTCAATGATTTGGTTTTCACATGAAGTTATTTTCACATGAAGGGCTTGTCGGAGGTGATCGAAGACGACGAAGTTCCAAAAAAAGAAAAAAGAAATGTTTTTGACTCGCGAGTTGTGTGTGTTTAAAACAGTGCGCCGTTTCAGACTCCAACTACACATCGTCTTCGTATTCTTTTTTCTTTTTCTCGCAATTGGTTTACAAATTTGGAATCTCCCAATTATAATACTTATCCATTTGGTTTAGTAAAACCACTTAGTTGACCAAAAACCAATGCTGAATTATATTTTAGTTGTGAAATATCTTTTCCTCTAATCCCACTTCATAATTTATTGCAAAACAGAATGAGAAATAAAATAATGAAAAAATAAAAAGAATGATTATTCTTAGTAGTTAATTTTTTTTGAGAAACTTTTTATAAGTAGTTGCTATAGAACTTCTACGGGTTATAAAATTTTAATGGAAACTTGTTACAATCGAAAAACCTAGTTAGAGATTATTAGATTACCAAGCGAAGGAATGGAACTAATCTGAAGGAATGGAACTAATCTGAAGAAACATGATACTAATAAACTCATATTCAAGGTTCATAGATTTTTCTGAAGAAGAAAGCCTTCTAAAAGAGGAAACAAGACAGATTTTTTCACTCTAGATTCGTTGAGTAATTAGAACAAGACTAGGTTAACTTCTGTTTCCAAATCGTATTATAAGACATGTTTGAGGAGTTAGTAACTTCACGTAAAAAAAAAAAAAAAAAAGACACAGGCCATTAATGATTTGGTTTTCACATTAAGTTATTTGCGAACAACAAAAACATATAAAAGCAGATGTGCATTTTACTAATCTCCCATTACAAGTGTAAACACCGGAAACCGCAATAATATTTATTCTGGCTGGGTTTATACACACGCAGAGAGCATTTGGTTCATCAAATGATTCAAGTTTTAGTTACAATCAGATAGATATATAGATGCTATAAACCAACGGGTCTAAGCTATAATGCTAAATCCAACTTCCATCACTTCACATCTGCGTCTGAAATAAGTAAAAAATGGTTAGTTGAATCCTCCAAATGAGTTATTATGATACCAAAACCATATATACAGGGATGTTTATGTCAAACATGCATTTAGAGGTAAGAACCAATATTCTGGCTGCTAGCTACCAAACTATCTATCAAGCATTACAGCAACTATGAATGAGTGGCTAGCAAAGAAGATACATGATGACTTTGCACTCTAGACACTCTGATGCATGACAAAGAAACTGGTTTCATCATAAAACTAACTTAGTGGCGCCGCTGCAAGCAAGAACCCCTAGAACCAAATCTAGCTAACTGTAATTGCATATAGACCCAAACCAACAATCAATGCTTAAGAAGGCAAATATCGACTTAGGATGCAAGAAACTCTAACCCCAAACGTTAAGAAGCTGCATTTTATTAGAGAAAGCAATGCCAATCCAATCAGGCTGTGAACAAGACCAGCTACAGTAACTAAATAATGGGCCTTTCTATGCGTTTTTGAGCTTTCATTGACCTGTTTTACACTAAGCGGGCTGTCTACTGTCAATCCCAATTTTCTTTTTCGAATGCCATTGATCAAAAACTTGTCTTAGAGGCAAGAACAATGATAAATAATTTTTTTCATAGCGTAATGATAAATACATTTGCTAAGAAGATGACAAAACTAAGGATATCTCGTTTTAAAGAAAAAAA